AGATTTCGGGTTTTAAAACTTATATCAGATCAATTTTGATGTATTTTAATAGTTTGAGTCTATAATTTTCTTTTTGATTGTTTTAAAACCCGAAGTTTAATATGGTCGTTAAATAGTAATGCAATGATCGTAACGATGTTTTTTTTTTTAAAAAAAAAAAAACAATAAAAAATATAAAATATAAAATCGGGTTTAAATAAACAAAGGAAATTTTTCCAAAATAATTTTTTTAATACTAACGCTAAGGATGATTCAGTATTTACGAATGTAAATATTACTTGGTTTTTATTTGTTTATTTTATTGTTTCTCGTATTTTGTATCATGTTCGTGCATGAGATCTGCGATCGAGACTCCTTTTAATCCATAAAAGGGAATTTTAGCACCCGCCATTTTTATATGTATCTATAGATATAGATACTTCGATTCGAATACGATTCGTATACGATTCTTATACGATACTACATCAGGAGATTAAATAAGATCGGTATATGCGGTGTACTTTGGCAACTAAAAACTGCACAATTCTTCACCATGTTCGACGATCTACGAGTACACAAAACTGTGGAACTACTTATTTTAAGTAACTGAGGAAACAATCTTTTTCAAAAAAAATGCGCAGAATAATCGGTTGTGAAAGTAATCGTTCATGAAAAAATACGTAAATAATATATATCCAATTTATCATTTTTAATTAAAACGAAACTCTCAATTGACGTAATTTTAATAGTATTGCATTTTATGAGAAATAAATGTGCATAAATAATCGTAATTCAGCAAAGGTCGATAATAAAGTATAATACTATTGTACAAATTGCTCAAATAATCTCACATCTTCATCGGTATCATTCTCAGAATGTTCTTCAATGTTATTATCATTATAATCATTTGTGTTACTTTCGTCTCTTGAGTCATCTTGAATATTCATAATATCATTTTTACTTGGAATCTTGTCTGCATTTAGTTGTGCTTATAATAATATAAAAAAGTAATAATAAAAAATTTATTAATTATAAATATATATGTATTTACAAATGAATACTTACCAGAAAAATAGCACAATACTTTTTAATGATTTCTTCAGTGCATTGAATATCTTTACCACCTGGATTTAAAACAGTGCTGCGGACAGCAGTGCAAAGACGATTATTGGTGGTTTTAAACAATTCTCCTTTGCTTCTCTTATAATCATCAACTTCCCATAATTTATTATATGCCTTAAAAACATGTGGATTTTTTTTCATTCTGCAACCTTTGCTCCTGCATTTGTTTTGATTTCAGGGACTTCAGGAAATTTAAAAAGTGCAAGCCATATATCTTTAGCAAAGATATTTCAACAATATCTC